AGTCTTATCTTCATAAATTTTTGAAATCCATGTACGCATCAAATGGACAGAACAAAGTAAAACTTTACACTCTTGTTTACCAGCACTAATACCAGGAAAAGCTTGCATTATGCTATTGGCTTCAGTACTATTTTGGTCTATTAAAATATAACGAGGAGCCTAGTGGCATTTATTTCGAACCAATTGTAATGCTTTGGCGATTGTTGCACTATCCTCAGCACAAACAAAAAAATGTGAACCACTTTCCCAACATCCATGGTTATCACGTACATATAAAGTAAAAAGCTTCTATCTATGTTTATTTGTTTTGTAGGTCGAATCCATTAATGTGAGCCAACCGTGGCGTTGAAGTTTGTCCATTTGTCTAGGATATATAAAAACAATACCTTCCATATGTTTTACTTTCCCATTTTCAGATCGCTGAGAAACGTGATAATATTCGGCATAATACTTTTAGTTTTTCAAATATAATAAAGTCTTAGAAATATCTGCTTCTAACTTTATATTACCTATTAAATATGCATTCATAGGTCCTTGAAGCTTATATTTAATGTTCGCAACCTCCCTTCGCCTTAGATATTCCACACTATCATCTAATCCAAGCTCATTTTTTGCATATTCTTTAACCACGCTAGTTATTGCTACAGGTTCATAATTCTTAATAGCTTCGTTTGTAACCAAGGTTCGAATAGTATCTGAATGTTTTAACATATCACTATCTTCTAGCGTGTGTGTATGATTTGGAGAATTGTTATACCGCTCAACTCGAACTATCCTAGAACTAACAGACCAAGTTACTTTGATTTTTGCTTCACAAAGACCAGCTGGTTGAATAGTAGTTTTTCTTCATTTATCAATTGCAACACCTTCCTGCCGTATACTTGAACTTCGATGCTTTTTAAAATGACAAACATAAGTCTTCCAAAAAATCTCCATTTCAAAGTTTGTATAAAGTAAATTGAGTCCATATATTCATTATTAAAGGCCACAAATTATCATTAAATTCTTCATCAGTTACTTTGAAAGGGTCTTGTATATTAAAAAAATACGAATGTATTTCAGCACTAGTTGTGCTACTGGCATCTGAAGTACTTGCTGAAGGAGTGGTAATCCTGTTCTCTTTGTCCGTAGCCGAAAATTGTGTGGTCCAGAAAAAAAAATATATATATATATATATACTGTATATATATTTAGAATATAAAAATACTATAGTGATAGGTATTTACAAAAAAAAAA